CCAGGGTGAGGGAGGGATGAGCAGCTACTGGGCCTGGCATGCGGCAGCACCCAAAGAGATGGGTCTGAGGAGCACAGAACGCTGGATTCCCATCCCAGTGTATTTCCCCGGCCCTTTCACTGTCTTGCTCTGCGTTACTTTCAGCTCTAGCAAAAGGAGAGCAGTTGTAAGGGCTAGAAGGAGCCCAGGGGACAGGAAACAAGGACACGTGACAGTCGAGGGAAGGGGAACCAACGGACACTATTCCATTTCAGAACCAAGCCAACAGCACACACAACGAGAGCCTGCGCTCCGTAAGGACAGGGAATTCAAGCACTGCTGAATCCTGGGACACCACCTTCTGCCAGCTCCCTTCCTTTGACTCGCTGTGCTCCATGGGAGGAAGTACAGGCGGAGGGGCTGGATGTCAAATATCAAATGTCATTAGTCAGTACGATGGGAGGTGTCAGAAGGAGGGAGAAAGACAGTGGGTCTGAGTTCCCATCCCGATGACACCCCTTCTTTGGGTCTCACTTTTCCCATTTGCACTATGACGGGTATCCAGCTGTGGTATTCTAGGGTGCTACCAACATCGCGTGTGCTCGTGAGACGGTGATGTGCGGAGTACAATAGGAGGGTAGCAGGCAGCCAGAGCATGACCGTCACCCAGAAGTGAAAGCATCCCAATACAATGAGCACTCAGTAGCTGGCATCCCTTCTGGACTGTGGAAGAGAAGCAGTGCACATGTGTGGCTTACTGAATGAACATGCATCCATGTGCAGTCCCGTCCCTCGGGCACGTGATTATACATATATATATATGTTCACAACTCTTGAGGCTGCAAATATAAAACTGACTCTTGTGATGTCAGCAACAGTGAAGATGAGGAAATCAACTCCAAGTAGATTCTCCCTCTCATCCCAGAGGGTAGTTTCTAACTTCAAAAGCCAGTAATCAAAAATGTCTTTGAATAATTGTTCTCCCAGGACACCTCAGTATTCACAAAAATAAGTCGGCAAATATGTGATGTCGATGAATAACAAAAGCAAAAGCCTATTTCTCGTATCTGGTTTTGCTTCCCTGTTTTTGGTCACGAAGGACAGTCTGCAGAGTGCTGGAAGGGCTATTGCTAAGAGGGAAGTGAAGACTGGAAGTAACGAACACCCAGGGATATAGATGCTCGGGGCTCTGGGCCCAGGGCCCCAGTTCCCCTATTGGTGAATTTGTCTCAAGATTCTTGTATACCAGGAACGGTGCTGGAGGCAGACACTCAAAGTTCTGATTTTCAAAAAGGAGAAGGGAATCCCATAAACTACATAGAAGCGAGCTTGACATCATGGCTGGCTAAATTCAAACAGCAGAGACCATCGTCCATCGTGCATCGGTCCATCAGGAAGACACTGTGCAGACGAACCGCATTTTCTTCTCTGTTCAAAGTCTCTAGACAGATCAGGCAAGTGCCAGGGACACAGCACCTCTGGATGACCATCAGGCCCCTTATATTCCTATGGACAAGACAGAAACATGTGCCTGGCTGTCAGGACAACCGTCGGGACTTTTACTTGTTGGACGACCACGTCCCGCAGGTGCAGACTCCGGGTTCCCACGCGCCAGGAGAGCCTTGCAGGCCTCTGGCTTCGGTTCCAGCCCCGCAACGTTTTCATCAGTGAAATGATGACAAATGATGAAGGCTTGCTTTTCAGATGTGAGGTGAGAAGTAAGGCTGTGAGGGGCCACAGCCACAAGCTACAAAGGACGCCGACAATAAAGAGGGTTGTTTCTACTTTCCGGACTGTTAAACCCTTTATGCAGAAGGAACCTGATACAGAGACACATCCTGCAAACACCAGCATGGAGGAGCTGCCGTGTTTGACATGGGAGAGAACACTGAGCCCCTGGCTGCAGTGGCCCCGTGAGAGCCCCCCACCCCTGCACGTATGGGGGACAATCTAACAGGAAGGAATTTAACAGTCAGATCGAATCTACAAGCTAATCTCATCCTTATTTTTGCCTTCTGAGATTCAGAAATAAAGACTTTGGTAGGCGCTTGAAGCAGTGTGTGGGGAAGAGACCACACCGCCCCCTGAAATGACTGGAACGATGACCACACCGGCCAAGGAAATGAGGCTGAGCAGAGGCACATGCAGAAGGACTCTGAGGCTTCACTGTAGAACCTGGAGGTGAAAGGCCATGACGCCAATGAGGGGACCTTGGGCATCACGTCCGGCTCCGAGGGTGAGCAGCCCCTCCCAGAGGGTGCAGGGCAGCTGGGAGCTCTTCAGGAAGATGAGGGACAGAGTGCGGCATGTTCCGAGGGGAGGGACAGGGATGGTGGAGGGTGTCTCAAAGCAATCGCATCACCTTGGGACCAGTGAAAGAGGGCTGTGGGCATAAGGGGCTGTCACGTGAGGATCTGGGAAAGACAGGAAATGATAGTTATTTTCAAATACTTGACGGGAATCAGAACTTGGATGTGTTCTGAGTGGCTCCTGGGGCAGGGTAAGGACCAGTGCGGGGAAGAAGAGGACAGACACGTGATAGCTCCATCGGAGGCAGGACTTCCCAATAGTCAAAACCAATTCTGGACAGCAGGCGCCACTGGAGGAGACCAAGCTCTAGCCACAGGGGTGTGTGACCCCAGTTCGAGACCCTCTTTGCAGGGCTGCTACACCCTGACTTCCATGTTTGATTGGAATAGATGCCTCTTAATTCTGGAAAGCCATGATTCTAAATATATTCTCATTTATTCAGAATCCTAAACCTCCCCAACTGCAAGCAACCAGAACATCTGTCATCATACTGAGTAATGACAAGTGACATTTGCAAAAATGGTCCTACGTTTGTGTAAATCGCCAAAAAGACGTTCCTAAAGCAAGACGTATGATACCTAGAAAAATTGTAGTGGTGACTGCCACCAGTTGGAGTGGTATCCATGCTCTGTATAGTGACCACAATGACAATGGAGCTGACCACAATTTCCACCCCAGTCTGGACAAGGAAGGACACCCCAGCAAATGCAAGTCCTTCCACAACTCTGCTCATATTTCCGCAGTGGATGCATTTACAAAAATTAGCCCTTTAATAAACAAAAGTACACGTTAAACTTACTTTTCAAAAGATTCTCATTACATAATACTTTTTTTTTAACGGTTTATTTATTTACTTATTTATTTTTAATCCTCACCCGAGGACATTTTTTTCTACTTTTTGTTCAGATAGAGTGGGAGGGAGAGAGAGAGAGAGAGAGAGAAACATCGACGTGAAAGGGACACATCAAGTGGCTGCCACCCGCACGACCAACCAGGGCCGGGGACAAACTGCAACCGAGGTACGTGCCCTTAGCGGGAACCAAACCCGGGTCTCTCTAGACAGCAGGTTGATGTTCTACCGCTGAGCCAAACCGGCCAGGGCTCATTACATAATACTTTTTAAGAAAATGCATTTGCTCTTTGGATCACTGTTTTTGCAACACCTCTCCATGTGAAGGATGCCAGGCTGTGACATTGTGTGTATTCCTACACACACAGCACTACAAGCACACCCACGCCACTCGCAAATGTAATGCTCCCTGACGACCACCGCTACGCAAATCCTTTCCACGTCTCCTAAAAATGAGTTCGTGTACACTGCCCACCCCGGCCCCACAAGCTGATCCACTAGCCGGATCCCACTGCGTGTCCTGTGAGGTGTGGAAACATGTGGGGAGGGGCTGGAAAGCTTTTTCCCCACAACTTGGAAACTACCAACTCCCAAGTCTCTAATGACAACCAGGAAGGAGGGTGACTTTTGAACAGTTATTACCCAAGTTGATCTCAGAAGCACACTGTGCAGCTCAAGGCATGGCCAACAAGTCCCCCTAGCACAGCTCCAGGCTGCAAGGTCTGCTTTATCCATCCTGTAACCATCCAGGGAAACATGGACCGGACCCCACTTCCGGTCCCACCCAGCCCTAGAACTCTGTGCCTCTGTACATAAAGCTAAGATGTTTACAGACAAACCCAGTAGGTATTTACTTTTAATCAGTGCATAGGACAAATATGTCAATACTTATTTGCTGGTTCATTTTACTTTTGCATTCAGAAAAGGAGGGATTATTTGCTTCATAAAATATTCAGGTTGGTCCAGATAAAAGATTCCCTCTGGCTTAAAAAGTTCATGATTGTTTTGTTTCCTATAAGGTGACATCAAGTGATTTGTTTTCAACATAAACGTACCTAGATTGTGGAAAGGATAATCTGACATCATACTCGAATTCACCCATCTTGTCACTAAAGGTGCCACCTTGGCCATGCTCTACCTTGTTTACCCCGGACACTCGGGGCATTTCTGCACAGAGCAAACAGGTCGATAGAGAGTCGTTCATTGCTTGTGTCCTTCCAGTCTGACGTCTGAGGCACGTTCTCATTGAACAGAGCGAAGCGTAGTTCTCTCTATACTTACACTCATGAATGTATTATTCTCTAAAATCCACGATTGGGAGAAACATTAGCAAGAAACACATTCTTGAAACTGCTGTATTTCCCCGCAAATATACCACGGTAGCTAAGGAGTAACCCCAGAAATAGGAAGGCTTGGAAATACATGTTCACAATATACACACAGCTCGAGTCCCAATGGATCCCGGCAACACACTCACATTGCAAACACTTCCCACCCAGCTCCCATCACAGTTCATTTGATCCGGTGCAGTCAGTATGGAAAACAAAAATCCCTGGAGGCAGAGCACAGATGAACTTTGAGAATAAGGACAAATATAAACACACACACAAGAGACAGACTCCTCTGAAGCTGGAGGGAAAACACTCTCTGTCCTCAATACTCCCTCCCATTCGGTCCTCAATCAGTCAGTAGGGCCCAGTGCCTGCCCTGTGCGGCCACTGTATTCTATGCCCAAGGCTGGGTGCAGGACAGGGTCCCTCTACGTAAGAATGCCTGGGCATCCCTCATTAGTAAAGTGCAGGGAAATGCAAGCCCCGTGGCTAGTGCTGGCATCAAAACCAAACAGCTCCCCAGGACTTACCAGCTGCTCTGCTGGTCCCGTCCTGCCCAGGTGACGGTTCTGCTGTTCGTGAACAGAGGGTTGGCAGGTCGGGGAGCTGGGAGGAAATGCAATTTACTGCATCTGGTAGCAGAGAACAGGGAGTACAATTAGGCACAGTGTCGGGAGGCCAGTGGGTTCACTGCCGAGACAGCAGCTTGTCTGCCCTACATAACGGAGCTCCGGCGAGAGGATCCGGGTAAACAAAGAGAAGCGTTTGCCCAGTGGCTGGCATTCAGCAGAGTAGCTGAGGCAGGAGGGATCCTGGCCAGAGAGCTCAAGCCCAGGGCTGCTCTGTGTATTCAAAGATTCATCGGAAAGCTCTGGATCCTAAGAGTACAATGAGTTCAGGGCAGGGGAATGACATGGGCCAGTGAGAGCCATTATCAGCTTGGTGGGACCGACCAAATATGGGACATCCGACTAGAATTGTGCATCACACTGAAAAATTTGGGGCTCATGCCCTGAACTGGAAATTCTGCTTTATGCGTTTGACTCATTCAGAAGACCTGTTTTATAAGCACTTTTTAAAATTTCAATACTTCAATCGGTGCTTCAGGCAGAGTCCTGAGAGTCCAAACAACAGCAGCTACTGAACTCGCCATTGGATCAGTTGCAGAAAATGGTGCAGAACAGGGAGACCAGCTGGGTTTGGGAAAGACCCAGCCCATTCCAGAGGGGGGACCCCGGAGGGTGCGAACCTCAGTGGGGCACCCAAGTGTCGGAAGAGAGGAGGAAGCCACTGGGGCCAGACAAAGAGAAGTATCTGTGTGTGCCCCAGAGAGAAGTGGAAAAGCCAAGACAGGGAACAGTCTAGAAAGCTGGGCTCTATGTGATGTGATTCTTTCCTGTGTCCTAACCATGTCCCAGACCCTGGAATGTCGATCACTTATCAATAATCACATCGAACTGCTTACTGCGTATCTCCACTGAACACCCCTCAACTAGCCCACACTCAGCATGTCCAAAACGAACTCGTGTCTTCACGCTTCTGCTGCGCCCCTGTGCTCCCATCCCGCTCACTGGCAGCACCCTTCACTGCCCTTCCCCGTGCCCCCTAGCCTCTACCTCCTTCACCTCCCTCACACCCGACCCATCCCGTGTCCCTGTTGCTGCCACCTTGGTTCTGGCAGGTTTCCTCTGGCCTCTTGTAGTTTCATGCTGGAGAAGACCGCGGAGCCTACATTAGGAGCAGGGTTAGCTCCGTTCCGTGGAGGCCAGACTGTGTGCTGCAGGAATTGCTAAAACATGCAATACCTGACTGACCAGTCAGGGGCGCTGACCTCTTTCCCCTGGGTTGTCAAGTAAGAAAAAACGACAGCAGCCAACACAACAAGAGCCATCTGGCGTGAAAGAATCAAAATTATACCCACTTTTGGGTCAGATCGGCAAAAAATAGACTATTTTTCGGTGTGCCGCAGAGTTTTAGTAATGACTTTCTGTGTGCCGTGAGATGAGGAGGGCTGGGCATCGCTGGGCTGGACCACTGCTGACTCACGTAGGAGTCCGACAGTCCAGAATGTACAGATATTGGGCCATTTGGTTCTTCGTGCAAAGAACACACTCTGTGAGTGAGGATGGAGCAGTTTCTCTAAGAAAATGGGGAGAAGGAGCAGGAAACCAGGAGCAGGCAGGCCTCCGGTTGGAGTGGGGCTACCGTATCTCTCTCTGGGGCTGTGTATGCTGGGACTTGGACCCTGGGCGGGCAGACAAGGTTGAAGACCCTTTACTGCACGGAAGAAAGCCGAGCCTGAGATGACGGTGGGCTGGCAGATGGCCATGAAGCAGCCGGGGGCACACCCTGAACACGGGCTTGGATTTGAGCCCAGGCTCTGAGGGTAGCCACATGTCTGAAGTTGCACCTTCTTTTCTTTTTTCTTTTTCTTTATTGATTTTGGAAAGAGAGATAGAAACATCGATGAGAGAGAACATCAGTTGGCCGCCTCCTGCATGCCCCCCACTGGGGATCGGGCCCACAACCTGGGCATGTGCCCTGACCGGGAATCGAACCGGTGACCTCTTGGTGCACGAGCCGACACTCAACCACTGAGCCACACCAGCTGGACTGCACATTATTTTCTCTGTTGAATGGCCCTGCCAGTGTTCCTGAACTTGGGCTGCAGACCCTACTCTCGCTCCGGGAAGGGTCTGGACCCCAAAGCGGCACAAGGCAAGAGCAGAGACAGGGGCAGCTAGGAGTAAGCAGTCCTGTGGGGTAGGGTAGACTGCGAGCCATGGTCCGTGGGAAGAACGGAGCAGCCATCCGGGGTGAGAGGGGCAGTTTAAGGCACAAGAGACAACCAGGGCAGATTTACAGAACGTGTGAGTTTCACTGAGGATTTCCAGAAATCTGTGGAATGGGATCTTGGTAAATCTGACTTCCTGCATTTAAATGAGGGGCCGTTCCAAGCCATTAAAACCAGGTCAGAAGTCACAGACTGGTCACACATATGTCTAGTACAGTCTATACTAAATACAGCATGTCTAGGGCACCTCTGCGCACTGAAAGCTTCAGTAGCTGGAAACGAAACCTCTCACAGACGGGCTCTGTGTCTGGAAGAGCACGTGAGTCCTAGAGCTTATCTCTCAGTTTCCCCAGGAGGCGGCTCCCTGCCGGCGTGGACGAGTGATGGCGTTATCCTCGCCCATGGTCCCTGGCTACAAGCTAGAGGACCGCAGCTCTTGGAGGGCTGGACTACACGGCTTCCGCTAAGAGATAAGGGAGTGGCAATAAGTGGAGCGTGAGGAAGAGAACGGGGTGGCCCCCTCAATATATCATCAAGTAGCAAAGCCTCAGGTTATGCAGCCAGAGGGCTCTGATAGACTCACACAAGGCACAGCACACCGAGTCTCCAAAGCGTCCGTGGGAAATGTCTGCAAGTGGCCGCGGTCAATACATTGCCCGCTTCCTGCCCTGGTCACAGGGGTCTGTCATTACTCTCCCCACTGTCAGAGAAGGCAGTGAGAGTCAGAGCAGAGATTTAAGTGTGCTTACAGCACTGCTAAGATAGTTACTGTAGCAATGAACATACATAGCCCAAGCCAGAGAAACAAAGTTGATGAAAACTCCCCTGAAAATGTGAAGTCTGGGCAACCTGAAGACACCCTGACATCTCCCCACATCTGATACGAACGTTCTGATGTGGGGATGGCTCCAGGCCACCACAGACGGGGTGGGATGGGAACCTAAGGCCAGTGTCACACAGCGAGGACTCAGGGCCAGGACTTGCTTCCCTTGCCGGTTCCAGCCCAGGGTTTCACACCAGCACCTCCACCAGTAAAGGACAGAGCTAGCACTAGAAATACACCGTATGCAGTTTATAGTTACACAAGACACGGTGCCTATTTAAGGCAGTAAAAACAACCCGCCCAATTGACGAAGACGCCGCTATGTAACAAGTGTGCAGATGAAGGGAGGGAGGAAGGGAGGGGGGTTCAGAATGTATCTGGCTGGGAAATTCTGCTCATGATTGGAATACACTGGTCTTGACTGCCAGGGCTACCATGTGATCTAAAGCCATTGGTGACCCAGCAGGACAGTTCATTTGCTCTGCCATTCACAGGGTGACAGGCGCAGGGTACCTTGAAGTGGGCTCACGACACATGCGCACCAGCACTATCTCCCTGGCACGTTCCACTCGGCTGCTTTTGCTAATTATCTGAGGCCGCTGGTACAGTTAGTTATATAATCCTAGTTGGTCCTGGATTCTGTAACTAGCGTGTTTCGGAAGTTGGGTTTTTTATTAAGGTATTATTAGTCTACAGTCATTTTGTGTTAGTTCTTAAGTAACAACAGTTGATTGATTCTAAGAGGGTCTTGGCAACTCTGAAGTCAAAGGCCCTCAGACATTCAAGAACGAGAAAATGATCAGATGTTTCCCGGCTCCTTCGCTGGACGTGCTCCAGTTCTCACCCTCAGACCACAGGGACCCAAACACTGACCACATTCTTGGAAGGATGAATTTCCTCCTTCAGACTTCTTTCTTTGCCAGCAGACGTGGTGTGATGAAAACCCTCCCCTCTCTCCCACACCCAGCTAAATTATAACCAGAGGTGGCAGGAATCGTAATCCAGGGTGACAGGCAAGCCCCCCGAGACTTTTCCCTGGCCATTTATTGGGGTCCCTGAGACTTCGGCATCCTCTTAACTCTGAGGTTCCCCATCCTGTCAAAAAGCGACAGGGGACAGAGTCATAGCAGCAATTTCTGTGCAGGGTCCTTCCAATGAAGATCAGGTGTCTCCCCGCCTCTATGAGCTGCTTAGGTGAACAGAGGGAATCGGTGGGAAGTAACGCAGGAGGGAATGAGAGAAGTTCAGAGTGAAATGAAAGAGACTGTGGCGAGAGTTTATAATGAGGCTTCATTTCTGCTTGTTAACATGTCATAAATACATGGGTCTCTGTGCCCCGCACAGACCTCCAGGGATATGACACGCAGGCTCCTTCCCTTCCCTAATGAGAGAGAGAATTCCAGGAAAGGTCAAGTTTGAGAAACGAGAGAGAGGGAGAAAAAAAGTGAAGACATAAAAGGTCAGTGTGCACCCTTCTGGTATGTGGGTGTCTGGGGGGTCAATGTCCCAAACCCCATCCCTGCCTGATAATTACTGCACTGTTGCTGGCTACGTATACTGCCTCCAGTCCTCCCTGGCGCCAGGCAAACCCACTCTGTCCCATGCTGCCCCTCCAACCCCCCCCCAAACAAGCAAGGCACGTCCTCAGACCTCCAAAGCACAGAACAAGAGCCCTGATTTGGCCACACCCTGGAGAATGTTCTAGAACGGTCATTGGTACTCCTCCTGGAATCTCTGCAGGCTCGGTCCTGACCTGTCTCTGCCTCATGCACCAGGAAAATGAAGTTTAATCTAATCCCCTCCCAAAGATCATCCAGCTAGCCAAAATCCAGATCCTCTGCCCTTTATGTGCTGGGGAAAAAACAAAAACACATTACATTTTTTTCTCTGAAGCCAGAATTATGTTCAGTGCAAGTATCTTTGCTCATCCAGAAAAACATATTACCCATCCCTGCATTTAAACATTTTTCCCCATGTATTTCCAGATGACATTAAGAAAACGCTGATGTCAACCCTCATTCTGGCTCCTGATTCTCTTCCTAGTTCAGAGTTTGACTTTATAAGATCCAGGTGAGCAGATGGGATATGACCCTTCTGACAAGTCTGACATTTTAAAAAATATGTTTTTATTGATTTTTTAGAGAGAGAAATAGAAACATCGATGCGAGAGAGAAACATCCATCGGCTGCTTCCTGCACGTCCCCTACTGGGGATCGAGCCCACACCCGGGCATGTGCCCTGGCTGGGAATTGAACCAGGACCTCTCAGCCCAAGGGTGATGCTCAATCCACTGAGCCACACCGGCCAGGCAAGTCCGACATTTTGAAGCAGGTCTAAGGTGAGGGCCAGAGTGAAAGTGGGAATTGAGTGGTTTTGCTGGTTTCTAGCTAATCGAAATTTAGGGAGAAGGTGAAGAATGAGAAGCGTACAATCCCAAGTCCATCCCACGATCCTGGGTAAGGAGAGCAGAGGGTGGGGACAAGGAAGAGAAGGGTGAGAAGGAGTAAGGCCCCCTCCTGCCAGAAGGGAAGCCAGGGCCCTGCTCCCACACCTCCTGTGCCAACTATGCCCACAGGGAGCAAGCCCTGCCCAACCCCCTCCCTGGAAGGTTGCAGAAATTGAAGTTTCCTGAATCAAAGACAAAAACAGAGGCCTTCGGCAGCTTTCTTAAACACCAGATAATGGCCTTCTGAGGTGTGTGTCGGCCTGGAGACCTAACCCCAGCACAAACGAGCTCCTTCCTGCCTGAGATCTGGTCCTGATGTTTAACACTCCTTGCTGAGCATCTTTCAAGAAAGGTCCAAGCAGTGAACTCTGGGAACAAATAGGAAGAAGAGCCAGGCCAATGGCTTCAGACTAGCAGTGAGCCAAAGCCAGCCCTCGACGAAGAGAGGCAGAGGCGGCTCGGGGTGCGGGTCTCCTCGGCGCCCCGCAAACACTGCCGCTCTTTCTTCCCGGTGCCCTTACAAACCAACACACGTGTCTCCTGTAGCCTGCGTGTGTGAAACTAGGCTGACCGGGATGGAAACATCGTCTACAGACGGGGCAGAGAGCGCTTACACTTACCTCCATCCGTGCTGGAGAAGCTCTGTGGAAACAAAAGCGGAGGAGAGTGTTACTACGGTGCGAGGAGAATCCCTCCTTCATTTAACCCATCTTCCTCCCCAGGCCCAGCCCAGACGGGGACTGTGATGGGCAGACCCAATGCTCCCTTTTCTTCTGAGGGCTTTGTTTGCGATCCTGCAATTTAAGGGAAACGTTTAACATCCCCACCTTCTCCCGAATTCCGCCCAGCAGAGATTTCTTTCGATTATCCAGCAAATGCCCTTGGTTGTGTTGGGGAAGTGATGTCGGAAAATCCGATCTGAAAATTAGTTTGTTTCTGTTGCTTTCCTATGGCTGATGGGTGCCCGACGGGAGCTACGAGATAGGGAGAAGGCACTGAGGTAGGTATTCAGAGCCTACTGGCTTTCTGGATTCTTTCCTCTTTGCTCCAAGGCATCGTCTGTTGTCATATACAGTAACATTTCATGCGTCTACACTTTGTCAAATTCATGTCCATTTGATATGGTTTTGCCTCTGGCCCTATATATATATATATAAAGGAAAGATGTAAACAAAGCCATAGGAGTATGTTTAATCTGCTTAATAAGAATTGGTCTTAGGCCCTGGCCGGTGTGGCTCAGTTGGCTGGGCGTTGCCCCGTGCACCAAAAGGTTTGATTCCCCGTCAGGACACGTGCCCGGGCTGCAGGCTTGATCCCCGGTGTGGGGGTGTGGGGGGGGGTAAAGGAAGCAGCCAATTGATGTTTCGCTCTCTCTTTCCCTCTCCCTTCCTCTTTCTAAAAGCCCATTTAAAAAATCTTAACAAAGAATTGGTTTTAGAATTCTAGAGTCCAATGGAAGATGATTTTTCTGGCATTTGACATATGAAGGGTTTGGACAGTAGGTAGATGGGGCTGGTTGGATGACTCTCCAGCCTCCCCGGCAGGGCAGGTGGTCCCAGAAGACAGGCCACTCTCAGCTTCAGAGACGGCATGTCCCCACAGCTGCCCCTCACTTCCAGAGAGAGCATGGGGCTCAGCTGTCTCCCCAACACCAACTGGCCTCTTCTCCAACTGGCACCACGTGGCTGGTGCTCAGGTCCCCACGGCGTAATTTACAGAAATCACATTTGTTTCTTTCACCTTCTGAAAGTCCTTGAAGGATTTCTCCGTCTCCTTTAGTTTCTCCAGGATGATTTGCTCTTTGGCAGATATCTGGGACTCTTCACTTTCCAGTGCTTGTATTTCCTGCTCCAGCCTGGAAAACACACAAACAGCGGGCAGGTTACTTCACTGTCCTGCCCTCCCAGGCCCAGAGAGCAGCTCCTTCCTGTGGGGTGACTTCCTGCCAGTCTCCGTGTTACCTTATGCTGAGGGACCGGGCCAAGGTTTCACGTTACCGAGCATCCTGTGTTCTCAGCGTTGCCACGGAGCAGACACTGGTCAAAGGAAAACCACCCAGGGCTTCTGCCACTACTCGCTGCCGCCACTTTGCAGTGTGCTTTGCAGTACGCGCCATGTGCACGTCCATCTACCGGGGAGGTGGATGTTTTTACAGAGCAGAGGACACAATGCCTGGAGGCACACAGCTTCAAGTCTCCTCGCCATCTCGGAGTAACTGCTTTTCTATCAGGTGGGCCAAAGGGTGAAGAGCCAATCCCACTCAAAGGAGATATGCTACCGAGAAATGGCTACCAAGGAATTAACCTTTATTGAACACTAAGTCTGTGCCAGGAACTGAGCTAAGAATTTGCATGGCTTATTTTATTTTACCTTCCCAATGACCCTATGAGTAAGGAATCCCCGTTTTACAGATGAGATCATTAAGGCTTGACAAGGGACTAGTTTACTGTTGCAGAGCCTCGAACCCAGGATTCGAGCCAGGATATCTAACTCTAGACCAGTGGTTCTCAACCTTCCTAATGCCGCCACCCTTTAATACAGTTCCTCCTGTCGTGTGTGGGCGGATCTGCATGTGGGTGGACAGAGGAGCGGTGTCTCGGTTCCTAAGACCATTGGAAATATATGTTTTCCGATGGTCTTAGGCGACCCCTGTGAAAGGGTCGTCCGACCCCCAAAGGGGTCACGGTCCACAGGTTGAGAACCGCTGCTCTAGACCCTGCTCCTAACCACTGTGTCTTACCATATGGGCTCTACAGGATTTCCCATATTCCTGCCTTGCTAAACATCGAGTATGCTGGCCCACTGGGCTGGCGCTGTTATGCAGCAAGGTTACGAAGGGATGGTGTCCCCTGCTGAAAGGATGGTAGACTATTGTGCTTCCTGAATTATTCGGTCTGAGTTTATTTGGTCACACATTCATTCCATTTTGCTTTTGGGCTCTTTCCCCTCTGTCATGCTAGAAGCTTTGCTGCAAGGTCTGTGCCTGCCTGTATTAGTACCGCCCCCCTCCCCTTCCACCTTCTAACCCGCTGCAGGCAACAGGCTAACCAAGCCTGTTAGACTAAGACCTAAGGTCAAGAGTTCAGAGAGAAGTCTTCCGAGGGGCGAGGAATGCCAAGATACAGGCATGGGTTTATTTAGGGATGCACTGTGCCCCCTGACGCCTTTTCTGTTTGCTTCCCGGGCGCCAGAAAAATAGCCTCTGGCTGGATGAAACTTTGCAGCAATTACCTTGGGTTACGCAGGCAAGCCCTATGCACAATTGCACTCCCTCCGAATGAATAGTTTCAGATACTCTTGTCGTTTCGCTCACAGTAAAAGTGGAAGTCCGTCCAGTGACTTACAGCGCCCTAGGTACCGGGAGGCTAGTACCTGCTTGGCCTCCACTCTTACCAACGTGCTCACTTCACGTACGCTTCAGTCAAACAGAGCTACTCCTTGTTTTCCCACTTGTGCCCCACATTTTCTCCTCCTCCAAGAAACCCATCCCCAAGTCTCTGTCCAGATACCACGCACCCCGTGAGGCTTTCATAGATTCACCACCAGGACGTGACATCGCACTTCATTTCGGTTTATCGGAGGTCTTATCAAGTCTACTATATGTTAGAGCAATGGTTCTCAACCGAGGTGATTTTTGTCCTCTAGGAGATATTTGATGGTGTCTGGAGATATGTGTTCATAATTCTAGGGGGTAGAGGTCAGGGATGCTGCTAAATATCCTGCAAAGCACCGGAACCCCCACAACAAAGAATATCTGACCCCAAATGTCAGTGGTGCTGAGGTTTAGTAACTCTATGTGTTGGAGCATATCTAAATGATTAATGTTCCCTAGTAGGTTCCAAATTCTTCATGGAGAGGGCCCAAGTGCTCAATAGAAGTATGTTGAATGAATGAAAGCTGAACCAAGTTGCAAAAAGCCGTGGTTCAACCAAGGTGAGGTTTTTAAGATTTCTGAAACCAGGGTGAATTCCTCAGCAAGCTTTGACTTGGAGAAGCCATGTGTGGGCTGAAGCGCAAACAGAATGCAGAGGAGAGGGGCCAAGCCACGCAGACTCAAAGAAAAAGATAGAAAACTCCTTTGGCATTCCAAGTGATCAGCCAAATCTTCTACACACAACTGTGTATGTGATTTTGGGAGGAATTGAGAAATGGAATAAGAGTGTGGAACAGGAGCAGCTCCCATGAAACAATTGGATGATCCAGAAATTGAGCGAAGTCAATGGATAAAGGAGCCCCGGGCTAGAAGTTTACTGGAAATACTGGGTGACAGTCCTGGCCAGGTGTGTTCTGAGCAGATTTCATGCATCTCAATGGACAGAGTGCCTCAGCAGGTATCTAGGATGTGGGTCGAGTCTATTATTCTCAAACATATTCCCTCCCTTCCTCCTTCACCTCCTGGGAAGAGTATTTGTGTCCCTGACTCACCGGTGTTGGTCTCCGTCACATGATTTGCTTTGGCCTCATGGTATATAGAGACATTTCCCTGCCCCTTGACTCTGGGTTCAGCTTTGTGACCTGCCTTAGTCACTGGGATGTTAGCAGACACACACAAGCAGAGGCTCGACATGTGTTTGGCCGATCGGGCAGCATCGAAGGGCTTCTCTGGGTAACTGTTGTCCCTTCAGCCTGGGCCCCTGAAAGAACACCTGGGGAGCTGACTGGAGCCCAAGCCAGAGACAGGAGCCACGCCCAGTCAGACCAGCACCTTCCATCAGAGCTGCTCAGCAGAGCCCAGCTTAGATCAGCAAGCAGTCTATTCACAGAAGTATCAACAAGAATAAATGATTTCTGTTTTAAACCACCGAGTTTGAGAGTCATTCACCATAAAGTACTACTGTGACAACAGCTAATGGATACAACTCAAATAGTATATTATATACTCAAGTAATATATTATAGGCATATACATTATATATGTGTGGATAATATATGTGTGTGTGCGTAGCCTAATTACATATGAAGAGATTTACAGATACATAGATATACAAATAATACCTGAAGATAAAATATTAGAGAGAATATAAGCTACCCTTGCCTCACTTCCCCCAAGTCTCAGAGAAATCTGGAAGGATACAGGGCATCCCTTCATGAGAATTAAGATGAGAAAATAGCCCTGGCTGGGTGGCTCAGTTGGCTGGAGTGTCATCCCATACACCAAAAGGTGGCAGGTTTGATTCTCAGTCAGGGCACATCCCCAGGTTGTGGGTTTGATCCCCAGTTAGGGCGTGTGCGGGAGGCAACCAATCACTGTTTCTCTCTCACATCGATGTTTCTCTCTCCCTCTCTCTAAAAGTTAAAAAAAAAAAATTCTAAAAAAAAAAATAAAAAGATTGAGAAAAATCAGAAAATATCCGTGGTAATTGTCTCTAGGTAATGAAATATGGGGTGATTTTAATTTGGTTCAACATGTTCTCAATTTACAAAAAACTCCTGTGTTCTTTAAGCAGAATGAAAACAGTAAGTCACGTTTAAAGGGCCCCCTTTGGCCGGGCGCTGAGAGGGCAGCCTTCCACGGGCAAGGGGGAGGAGCCAGCGAGGGCTACCCGGGTGCCCTCCAGCATCGGTTTCCAGGCAAGCCAGCCAATACCGACAGAGCCTGTCTGCTGGGCTCAGAGGTCGACGCTACAGGGGACTCTACAGTAAACAGGATCATGTAGAAAAAACAGCTGACTTAAAAACAAGCAAACAAACAAAAAAATGCCCGACTCCAAAGAACTTGCTTCTCGAGGTGAAGCCGCCCAAGTGGCTAAGAATTCTCTGTGACCTGATGCCCACAGCCTGCCCCAGCCCTCAGTGGCTCAGGGCTCTCAGCTATATAGTTCAAGTGCTAAAGATTTGGGTCATGATAGTGCGTAACTGAGAAGGGATGGAGAGAGAGAGAGGAGAAATAAAAAAGCAATGAAACTAGACTTTGAGATAAGAACAACTGAGTTTCACCCAAAAGAAATGAATGCGGGAAATCGACAGTGTATATAAGTCAGACTGAGTAGCAGATTTCTCTACAAATGCACAGATGGGCTTGGGCCAGGTCCTAAGGGCACTGGATGGCCCAGGCTGCTATTTTTCTTTGGGAAACCTGAGTCCCCAGGGCTGAGGAACATCCTAAGAAACAGTGCTATGGGTTAATAAGAGTCATCTCAGCCGGCTATAAATGCCACTGTTTCGTAGTTTCATAGCTAAAATCTAATGCAGTCTTCCCCGGAGGAGCCAAGTAGGATATTGCCGAGCTAAAAATAAAGAATGGGCAGGAAGTGTAATTTATACACAAGGTTAATCGAGGCTCTCTGGGCTGAGTCAGGTGCACAGAACAGCCTCTGACCGGCTTGCTCAGTTTCTTCTGAGCAAAAAGCAGGCTGTAATAGGCGGTCAGGAAAGGTGACACACTGCAGCTGTGCAGGTTTAATTTCCTGGAGATGAAGTTGCAATCATGGCTCAACAGTCTTATAAAGTCTACCTAACCCTGACAGACCTTCCGCACAGGAAATACAAAGAATCGAGGGCTCTAGGAAGTGCATCGATCATTCTCTCATTTTGAAATCCATGTATGCGTTCCTCCATCCATCTTTTTGCAAACACCTCTGTCAGGCACTGCCCCGAGCATCAGGGACAGCGAGCTGAATCAGCCAGTGTCTGCGCGTGAGCGCTCTAGGTCAAGCGAAGAGAACAGCCAGGTAAACGCATGAATTATAGTATGACCCCCAAAGAGCCATCACACAGGAAAGAACAGTGTGTTGTGGAAGTGTCAGCTCTGTCTGGGAGTGTGGCAGGACTCCACCCAAGGCGCCTGCCCAGTATCTAGCCTCCCTTCCTCCATGCTAACAGAATCCTTATTGTGTTGCGGGTGCAATGTGCTCAG